CAGGAGCAATGTGATATTGTTCCAGCGCAAAAGTAACAAGTAACAGTGTCGTGTTCACCTATGCAAGTAGACATACATTTATTATATCCTTTAAGAATGTATAATAAATGTGTTACTACCATAACTGAAGAATCCTCGCTTCCGTTTTCTTCGACTTATCTGGGAATAATCGATATGTCCTCTGAATGATAAAACACGATCATCAATTTTAACCATTTTCTTTATAGCAGGTTTACTTTTGTAATGGAACGCATACTTATTGCTCCATGCCATTTGCAATCTTCTGTAAAGATAGTAACTAGGGTTCGAAGGGATGAAGCATAAACGTGGAAAAATGTACTTTTCATATTCATCTCGTGTTCGTATAAGTTTGAAGAAATTACTTCCATGTGTATAGATTGTCGCAATAAACTTGTCGTAGTTTTCAAGGCTATCAGCAGGCGGCTGAATTTCTCGCTCGTCAAGCTGCATGCTTTGAGATTGTTGATAGTCAGGTGGTAAGGGAACAGGAATAATATCTACACGATTATCTTGAGGATTTATATCACCTGAGTCACTCACAGTATTAATCATAGAAATTTCAGAGACAATGTTAGGGTTATCGAACTCAGATGAAGCAATAGTATCACTACTATCTGTATATATACTTGCGTATGAATCAATACTGCTCAGATCACTATCAACTTCTGCTCTATTTGTTTCAAAAGGAATGAAAGCTTGAACTTGATTATTATTATCAAGGATCATTTCTCCCAAACCAAATTGTGTATTTCGGGTTAGACGCACATTAAGTTGTAGTCCTTCAGGTAAGTTGGACCTGATAAATTCACGGATTGTTGTTCGTAATGTATTCGAAGCCGATTCACCATCATTAATGGTTCGATCCTGAACTAAATTTGAATCATCATCGGATTGAATAGCATGACTCGCTGTTGTCATCTCAATCCATTCTTTGATCACTCTGTTGTTCTTACAGAGAAGAATATGGATTTGATCAAACATTGATTGAAGATTACCTGCGCAGATATAATCTTGCAGCATCTGACGGAACTGAACAATTGCCTCTTCACTGGCATGTTGATCACTTGTAACAACTTCGTTGCTATTTTGATTATTCATGTCTTCGAGATTATCTTAATAGATAATTACATCGAATGTAAACTGACCAAACATCTCTTTCCACACCAGGTTTTATATGATAAAAAGTAGGCGTGGAAAACTTTTCACAATCACCACTATCTACTCCTCCTTCATATAATACACATTTATCTCTTTGTATAAGAAAAGGAGGAGCTAATTTAATTAACTAATTCAATTACATTTAGTTAGGTATTCTCATCATTTCACAGAAATAGCACCTCCTTCATGAAATCAAGATATTTCATAAACAGCCCTTCTCTGCCCACTTGCATTTCTGACCAATGCATCTTTGGCCCAATTGAATTTCTGGCCCACTTCGGTGGGTTAGAAATTCTATTGGGCCAGAAATGCCTGTTGGGCCAGAAATGCAAGGGCCAGAGAGGCTCTTTATTCTACTGTTAACCTAAAACATAACGAAATTTTTGGTAAATATTTTATTGAACTGATATGCATCCAAACGAAATGAGTTCGAGGTTAAATTTATATCATTTGCTGATTTCGCACTTTTGATGCCAATGTGATAATCAATTCTATCGATCGAAACAATAATAAATTTGAGTGTCTTGATTATCTAACTATTGATAAATTGTCGTTGTTATCACCTTCGAGTTCATTTCTCTCGGCTGTATACGGCAACGGTAATCATTGATCACTATTTTCCATCAGTAAAAAATCAAAGCAACTTTGATAGAGTTAACTAAAGAGATAGAGATGAAAATTTATCTTGTAATTGTTACGATGTATAACGAATTGCTTGTTGATTGACCTTGAGAAAAAATCTAAAGATTATTCTTACCTCTTAGTTACAATTATCACTAACATTTTAGATAAGCTCGTCAACAGAATCACTCGAGCTAGGAAGTAAGATTGAGAAATCAGAATCAACTTTTTAATTAGTTAACTGACTGAGAGATTTTCAAAGGGTCAAAGAGGGCCAAGCCTCCATTAACTTCAACTTTTTATCCCTATCAAAGGGTTAGAAAATTATGTCAACAAGTAACAGATCTTTTAAATGTGATGATGTTTGATTTGATTTGATTACATAATTTAATATTTAACTTATTTGCTCTTCTACATAACCTTTTGTTTATCATCAACTCTAAGGAGATAAGAAGCTCTTGACTGTCAATCGATATAAACCTGAAAATGTAAACAAGTAAAAGTACTCAATGAAAGTTTTATAAATATGCAACTTTAATAACAAACAGTTAAATGACTTGGAACTTTATCAGAAATGAATTCGTTACCCCGACTACTTTTTGTAATTTACTTTATTACTTTCTGTGATTGTTTAAAAGTGACCTTGTTCTCGCAAACTGGCCACAAAGGCAGTTCACAATACTTCGATGTTAATGGTTGTGTTAATCTAGATAGTGTAGTTCTATGTAATGCTCATCCTTTTCTATGTATGTGCTGCAAAGGCAAAGGAGGCTTGAGGTGCTGTGGCGAGATGGTGGCTGCAGACAACGTAGAGTCAATTAATACTCATGGTAACTGTGTCAGAGTCTATCGTAACTATAACTGTAAGGATTGGGTTGGAGGATGGATAGAGCCAGGATCAAATTGCCACAGTGATTGGGGTGCTGATGGTTGTGGTTTTAAAAATGACATTCGATCAATCGGCCTGTGCTGAGCTGAGCTGAAGATGATGACGACTACTCTTATTATAATAGAGATACGAAGATACCGTTCAATTGATTTTGATTTAGATACTGTTTTTAAGAAATATTCTAATTGCTGATCATGATGAGATCCATAGTACAAAATAAATTTAATTGAATCATTTGGGAGCAAGGGAAACTGTTTAAATTGTGGAGAAGAGAGTAATCACTTCTTTCACCAATTCAATCAATAATTTTAATTGTAATAAATAATCAGCAAGTTTCTTAGAAGAAGCATCTAAATCAGATATTGGTGCATCTCCATTTGGAATAACATAATTAATGTGTCCAAAAATCAATTGTCTGGATATTGATTGGGTTTTCTATTGGTGCTTTTTTTGAATCACAAATTGCTAAAACCTTAATCGGCGACAATGGCGAAAGTTGTCTTGTTGGTGAACGTGATGATGATGGTGATGGCTAGTATGATGGTGGGTATATGATTGGTAATGGTAATGTTCATATTTGGTTGACTTGATTCGGGAATAGCTATATTGCGAGGTTTTGTCACATATTCTTTGTAAATAAGGGCATAAAGGGCCAAACGTCTATCTTTTTTAAACGCAGAGCAGTAAAAATCTTCCACCGGAGCATCAGGAGTGGACAAAGAAACCGGAAGAAAATAATCTGCCACTTGACGTAACAATGATCCATGAAAAAGTAAACTGAATCCATCGGATGCTTGAACATTCACATTTTTCCAGCGATTTTCTCGTCTCCAATCATCATTAATTGCTCCGATTTGAATTGATTTAATCAAATTGATTCATAATTCTCAAGGTTACAATTAACATTAAGGCAACAATTAAGAAATGAGAGCCAATTGTCATCATATTACAGTCTCTCGAATTTAATTGACAATTTATTAATATCTTCTTAAAGTTATTGACTAATTAACGATTTTAAAGTTTTAATCAATATCTTTTACGTCATAGTAATTAGATTAAGCTCTTGGAAAAGTCAGTCAATCAAATTATCATTCATTAATCACTTGGAAAGAAAATGAATCGACAATTTAATGAATTGTCTATCTAATAGATGATAAATTGTATCAATTGTCAAAATAATCAACAATTAATGATAAAAATGTGAACTAAATCAAAAAGTTTAATCCCAACTATCAACAAATAAACAGTTATTATTATTGGTGAATAGTTTATGTTGAAAATGTTATCAAAAATTTATAGTAAATCATCACAATCAAATCAAGTGAAAAGTAAACAATTAAAATTATCGATAAAAATTAACGACAACAATTTAACTAAAGCTAATCAAGTGCTTTTATCCCATGAACTTTATGGTAAATTGTTCTTGGCGATACTTCGTGGTTACGATAAAACAGTTACAATTAACAAATGGAGATTAATTTATTACCGATTGATTGAAATTGTCTCATTCATAGTAATCGTTAGATTTTTCATTCTATTCGCAAGTAACAATTTAACGATAATTGAATTGTTAGGTGATCGATTTAGCTCATCGAGAATCAGAAAGACAATGGAGATTTACTGTATGTCCATTTTATCTTTAGGTTCAATTGTCCGAATACTGACCACTAACAATGAGCTGAATGACCGTTTATCTTGGCAAAAGTTTGTCAATTCCTTGCTGCGAGATAACAATTATCGTAATCATCAAATTATCAACTGTCATTTTCTAAGTACCCAAGAGATTAATGATCTTTGTCTCAAGATAATCTCACTTCCAAGTTATCCAATTACCATGTTCGTATATCTGTTAATCTATTTAATCTCTGGATTTCATGATATTCACTTCGTTAATCCGACTCAACTTTACTTGTCCATCTCATGGTTTCTTGTTGAGTTTTTATGTTTATCCCAAACTTTATCTACAACAGTTTTCATTGGATTAGGATTTGGGATTTATATTAAATTTTGTGCTCTAAGGGTCAGATTTTTGACCAGTCAAGGATTGTCCATATTGGCAATTAAACACAATCAACTGATAAGTGATCAAGTTGCTCTAGAGAATTCAAATGTTGAGATAATCTTTAATAAGATTGGAAATCGCTTCAATAGCTCTGATCATCATTCCAACCAAAATAACCATTGTGATGATGATAAAATTAATTCTGATATTTTCATCAATCAGTTGAAACAATTAATTATTCAGGTAATTCAGGGTAATCATGAAGCTCGTTGGGTCGCTTTCATGTCATTTTTTCTCGCCTCGTTCTTGATGGATTTGAGTTTATTTGTTTCTTTCATTGATCCACCCGATGAACCTTTTCATATTTGGTACGTAGCAATTACCGGGATAATCACTGGATTAATTGTTCTGCCAAATATAATTGCTAGAGCTCGACTCTCACGTAAGGTAATTAATCCAATAGTAAATCAATATGTAATCTCAATCACTAATCATAATCTCTTGATCGTAATAAATAGATTGATAATCTACACAAAATACTTCATCAGGTATTACGTTATTGCTGTTTAATCACTCGACTTAAAATTGAGGTAACAATTAACTATCAGTTTTAATTCAATGATGAACTAACAATTAAATTGTTGTGAAAATTAAAGGCTTTACATCTTATGGATTTGATGCTCGCTAAATCAATTGGTTTTTATGTTGGAGATTCATTTAGACTTGATATGTGGCACTTACTTTTGGTAAGTTTAATCATCTTAATTATCCTAAATTGTCAACAATTAACATGCAAATTATTTACAACCAGTATTTTGCTGAAAATGCATCAATATTGCTCTTAATGGTGGCCAATATGAGACGATGATTAACTTGGAATCAATGACAATCAACCTAATAATTTAAAGTACTAATTGATCCCCATGATAAGTGATAATCTAATTGTTATTGATTTGCTTTGATTACAATATAAACTGTTATCCTCTTCTCATTGTATGTTCACAATTTAATCAACAATTTGTTATCATTAAGATCTATTTCCAAATATAATTGAATTGAATTGTTATCACAACTCAATTTAATCAGGAAATTTCTTTAATCATGATTATCGTTGTGAAAGTTAAATGGATGAGAAATTATTTAAAATTCATAAGTAAATAGTTTCTGGTTTCAATATTCTCTTACCTTCTTGTCTCTTCTTCTTATATTCTGGTTTGAATATTGTTTATTATGGAATTGGAACTGAAAACATCATCAAATCAACAAATTCAGAATGAACAACAACAGACCAGCATCATTAGAACCTTGTCTTCTTCCTACAATAATGATAAACAAAGTAGTCAACCTCTTGATGGTTTAATTGACGATCAGAAGGATTATCGGGAATTTGTTTGTGGTTATGGTGCAGCTTTTATCAATATTTGTTTCACTTTTCCGATCAACAAGGTGATGTTTCGTCAAATGGCCTATGGAATTAAAACTAATTACGCTTTATCTCAAATGAGGAAAGAGGGTTTATATCAATTGTATCGAGGTCTTTACCACCGCTGCTTCAGAAAACTGCAAGTGTATCTCTTATGTTTGGAACATTCAGCCAATTCCAAAATCTACTCGATACTCATTTCGATCTATTCACATCTCATCCCAATCTTAAGTTAACAGTCTCAGCGCTACTTGCCGGATGCACGGAAGCCGTTCTTACGCCCTTCGAGAGAGTTCAAACCTTGTTACAAGATTACAAATACAATCACCAGTTTCACAACACTTTCCATGCATTCAAAGAGCTACGTAAATATGGTATCAGGGAATATTATCGAGGATTAGCACCAATTTTAATTCGAAATGGACCATCTAATGTTCTATTTTTCAGTTTCCGAGGGAAAGTGAAAGACGTTCTTCCCTCACCTGATGGTTGGTGGTCCGAACTGGTCACAAATTTTATATCCGGCGCTCTAATCGGTGCCTTGATTAGTACCCTTTTCTATCCCGTTAATGTGATCAAAACAAAAGTGCAAACCCAAACCGGTGGAAGTAAATTCTTAACAATTTAATCGATTCATTGAATCATTTTCTCTATGAAAAGCCATGTAAATCGAACTTGCATTAACAACTAGTGTAATTTTATATGGCGTTTTATTCACGAAATGATGAAAATCATTGTTTAATTTTGTATTCAAATCAATAAGTTTTATTGTAGGAAGTTTTCTTTGGTATTGAAATTAATGTGAATGAAATGAATTAAATATTATAAAAAAGAAAATGAATGAAAGTGTAAATCTCCTTTTATGAAAAGCAATATTAATTAATGTAATTAAGATTATGATCATTTTGGATTATATTTCGAAGAACTTTTTCTTGGTAATTTAAATTTATAATTAGAATTAGTTTTCTTTGATATATGTTCTCCACGAATATGACGATAAATATTTCCATAACATGAGAGCATTTGTGGAGGATTACATGTTAAGCAAACTGCACCATAAAAATATGGCGCAATGTGTTGAGCAAGTATCGTTTTTTTATGAGTTGGTTTAACTTCACATTTAACGTGATATCTACATGAAAATTTGGTACTGCGGCGGTTTCTTTTTTTAACTATAAATGATTCTACTCCTTCTGCTAAATCTTTACTTGTAACCTTCTGATAAGAATCATTATCTATTAAATAATAGTAATATTGCTTTTCGTCCACTGTATATGTACGTAAATATTTGTCGTGTATTATTGGAAACTCGATTGTATCATCTTCTGTCTCATTTAGATCTATCTGTTTATCAGTGGTCGATGTAGAAGCTTGAACATTTACATCTTGTGGATTTCCATCAACAATTAAATTCGTTTGATTATTACCGATTGATGTAGAAGTTCCAATATTTACATCCGACGAAATTTCTTCTTCAATTGAATCCACTTGATTATTTGAGGTCGAAGTTGAAGCTTCAACATTTTGTAGATTTACATCGTCTTCAATTAAATCCATTTGATTATCAGTGTTCAATGTAGAAGCTCCAATATTTACAGCTAATGAAGCTTCTTCTTCTTTAATTAATTCCATTTGGTTAATTGGAGTCGATGTATGCGGTGATGGTGATGGTGATGATGATGGCGAGGATGATTGTGGATATGTGATTGGTAATGATGGTGTTGGTTCATGATAATCGATAATTGGTTGACTTGATTCGGGAATAGTTGTGACTTTCCATTTCTGTTTCATTTGGAGCTTCTTCTTGGGTCGAAATTTGTTATAAGATAAAAACAATCGGGCCATTCGCTGTTTGAAGGTTAATCGTTTTTTGATTTGATTTCTATCAACAATTGTTGATTTTTCACTTTTAAGTTCAGAATCCTTTGGATCGGGATTCTCGAACATTTCTTGTTTGATTAGTGTAGAATCTATTGCACTTAATTGGATAAGAATATCAATTACCATATTGCGAGGTATCGTCGCATATCCTTTGTAAATAAGGTCATAAAGGGCCAAAAGTCCATCTTTTTTAAACGAAGGGCAGTAAAAATCTTCCATCGGAGCATCAGGAGTGGACAAAGAAACAGGGAGAAAATAATCTGTCACTTGACGTAACAATGATCCATGAAAAATAAACTGAATCCATCGGATGCTTGAACATTCACATTTTCCAGCGATTTTCTTCTCCAATCAACACCATCAATTTTGTGCTTCATTTTAAGCGTGTAAACCAAAGATGGTTCTGGAACATGATTCATTTGAATTGTAGAATTTTCATCACAATTGTCACCAGATTCGCTCTCTGTTGCATTCTCTTTGTTGTTAAACTATAACAATTAGATGGAAATAAAAAAAAGAGAGAAAACAAAAACAAAACAAACCGTTAAAACCATTGAACGACTAATACATTCAAAAGGAACAATTAAAGAAAATAAATGAAAAGGCTAATTAGCAAATTAGATTTACCTGTAAACCCAAAGTGAAGGCATAACTGATTTTCTCTTGCATCAGATTGGAATCCATTTTGATTAATCTAAATAAATAAGAGTAAAAACCAAACAATTAAGGACCCAAAAGAGAAAACTAAGTAACAATGTCAAGTTAAACATAAACGATTCTTTAATTAACTTACATTACGAAAAATAGAATTGAACAGAAATTTAATTAGCACAATTAATCAAACCAGTGGTCATTAAATTAGCACAAATATGATCAGCTGAGAAAAAGAAACTCTCTTGTTGAAGGAAGTTGATTGAAGAAAAGCAATAGACTCTAACTGTTGAATTACCTTTGAACTGTGGACGAATTAAAAATGACAATGAGACTTATAAATCCTCTGGATTTATGAGATAGGACCCACTGGAACACTGGAACCCGCTGACCAGTCAAGGATTATCCAATTGGCAATTAAACACAATCAACTGATAATCTTTAATAACATTGGAATTCAATTCAATGTCTCTGATCATCATTCCAATTAAAATAACAATTGTAACGATGATGAAATTAATTCTGATATTTTCATCAATCAGTTAAAACGATTCAGGTAATTCAGGGTAATCATGAAGCTCGTTGGGTCGCTTTCATGTCATTTTTTCTCGCTTCGTTCTTGATGGATTTGAGTTTATTTGTTTCTTTCATTGATCCACCCGATGAACCTTTTCATATTTGGTACGTAGCAATTACCGGGATAATCACTGGATCAATTGTTCTGCCAAATATAATTGCTAGAGCTCGACTTTCACGTAAGGTAATTAATCCAATAGTAAATCACTATGTAATCTTAATCATCATCTCTTAATCGTAATAAATAGATTGATAATCTACACAAAATACTTCATCAGGTATTACGTTATTGCTGTTTAATCACTCGACTTAAAATTGAGGTAACAATTAACTATCAGTTTTAATTCAATGATTAACTAACAGTTAAATTGTTGTGAAAATTAAAGGCCTTACATCTTATGGATTTGATGCTCGCTAAATCAATTGGTTTTTATGTTGGAGATTCATTTAGACTTGATATGTGGCACTTACTTTTGGTAAGTTTAATCATTTTAATTAGCCCTAAATTGTCAACAATTAACATCCAAATTATTTACAACCAGTATTTTGCTGAAAATGCATCAATATTGCTCTTAATGGTGGCCAATATGAGACGATAATTAACTTGGAATCAATGAAAATCAACCTAATAATTTAAAGTACTAATTGATCCCCATGATAAGTGATAATCTAATTGTTATTGATTTGCTTTGATTACAATATAAACTGTTATCCTCTTCTCATTGTATGTTCACAATTTAATCAACAATTTGTTATCATTAAGATCTCTTTCCAAATATAATTGAATTGAATTGTTATCACAACTCAATTTAATCAGGAAATTTCTTTAATCATGATTATCGTTGTGAAAGTTAAATGGATGAGAAATTATTCACTTTAACCTTGACCTTGACATTAGAAGAAAACATCTCAATCGATTCACAAGAAAATCATGAATCTTTTGTTAAGATAAATGGTGTTTCCGATTGTAATAATTTTCCAATCTAAGTTCAGTCAATCAACTGCGACTGAGGAAAAAAAATTAAAATGAATGATAACTAATCGTTGGTGGTGAGCATTTCGTTAGTGAATTCAGCTAAAACTATTCAATAGGAAATTGTTTATGATGATTACGAGAGAGAAAAAGAGATAAATATACAGAATAAGATTCTGAGGAAGATGATATCATATATTGGAATCATAAAGAAGGATAAAAATTGTGAGTTGGTGATATTGAGATACAATGTACATGATAAGCTCTTTCTCCTTTTCCTGTTTAAATCATTGAGGTTCCACTTACAGTTAATCAATGTAAGTAGATTGTCTGGAAATGACCTTAAATTGATTGTGACCAAAGTTAAAGTGGACACAACACATTGAAAGAAAGCTTAAGATTGATTCATTGACTGTGTGTGAATGTGGACATGGAATCACCATGTTTGAAAAACAAGGAACAAGAAAATGAGAAAATGAGAAAAGAGAGAGAAAAGTTCAATCAATATTATTATAATCATCGGTTTTGTTTATTGAGTATTGAATTTCCAATTCCCTGTGGGTGGTTATCATGTTGATGATGCTGGGTAACTCGATGCTGGTGACCAGTAATTTTTAACATCATTTCCGGTCATTTCAGAGATCCAATCCAAAAACTTTTGTACTTTCACATAAACACCAGGGTGACCCTGTTGTCCACAGTCAATTCCCCATGAAACTATTCCAGCCAAAGAGTAGGTTCCATCGGGACGATAACAAACCAATGGTCCACCTCCGTCTCCCTGGTTAAATTAAAAGACAATTAACAAAAATCAGACAATCGATTAGTTTTATGCATAGGAGAAACAATCGATTCTAATGGAAACAATTGGAAATGATTAGTAAATTGTAAATATTGCAAATGTAAAAGCCACACAAAAAAAGCTAATCAATTGATCGATCAGTGATCATCTTGATTGTGTCAATTTAGATTAGAGTTGATGACTTAGTGATTGAGATTTGATCTCAAATTGATTGTTGATCAAAACAATCATAAAGTGTATATTAAATTATTGTATTCTGGAAAATCAGTCAATCGCCTCAGGGTAAATGATAATCCATCAATATATTGACTGTTTTTAAGGAGATAACAATCAATGTAATCAAATTATAAAGATAAACATCAGTATTGATTTTAAATTGTCGATTGATGATTGAAAGTTATTATTAATAAATTGTGATAGATGTCAAATTGGTAGCAATCAATTGATTGATCTGAATTTAAATTATTGTCTAAGATTGATCAGAATCGAAACTAAATCAAATTAAATGAATAACAATTAAAACCTTCTCCCTTTTTTTTGAGTAATCAATAATCTCAATCTAACTAATTGTTACACCGAAAAGATTTACTCTCAATTGTTACCTTGTATTAATAATTAATTGATTGGATTGTAAATTTTTCAACACAAACACTAATTGAAACAATAATGAATTAAACTAATTCTTATTCCAAGAGCAATACTAATCACTTTTTATCACAATTAACTTGATGATTGAAGCTTAATGGTCGTAGGTCAATGGTAATGATTATTTGATTACAATATCGATATTACAACAATTTAGTCAAACCTTTCATCTAATTAATAGTTAAACATGATCATCAGACCATAAATTAAAAAGTATTAACATGAAGCCCAAACAGTAATTTATTGAATTGAATTAACTGATTTGAATTCCATGAAAATAATGACTACTAATCTGTTCAGTTGAATCACATATTTCATTTTAATTATAATTATAATTACATGATTGACCTTGAAAATAGCATGGGAATCATCAATTCCGTCAGAATCTGATTCTTTTTTGGAAAAAATTCTCCCCAATAGTTTAAACAATTCAAGTTTAACCCCTCAGGCCAATGTCAAGCACAAATATTAATAATATAATCAAGTGTCAATGAATATTGGATAATTTTGTTGAATTGTATTCAAATGATATCATGAACTGACGATAACGATGCCAATCATCATGCTGAAAATCTGAATTCACACAGCTTTTATCTTGCTGAATCTAATGAAGGAAAAAATATCGAATCGATATCAGAATTTATATATACATATAAAAGTGTCGATTCTAAATCGAAGTAGATTTTGCAATAATGGTTGATAATTGATTACGAAAATAACGATACATGATATTTTCCCATGTTATCGTTGGTTGTCATCAGCTGAATTGATCTGAATAACATTTAAATGAACGTTATTGTTAATGTACATGAGAAAATTGAACATGAATCTAAGTTAATTGGGTTGGAAGAAATTCAATTTACACAAATTGTTTACTGATTAGTCTAAAGAAAAGATAATCTCAGTTGTGTGATACTTGTCATGAAAAATAGTTCAATATCATGAAAATGTATCGATTATGTCATTATACTTCCCACTCAAAATTACCATGTAAAAACAGAGATAATCTTTCAGGGGATTTAATAGATATTTATGATTATTATCAATGCGTTAAAAACAAACTAATCCAATCAAACGATAATGTTAATATACAAACAGAGAGGTAGATTATCATGAATTTCAATTCTGAAAAGTTCAGTAAACTATCATTTTGATTACTAACCTTGAGGATCAACTATCATAATCGTTATCATTTATCACACCGATTGAGTTTTCAGGGTGATCGTGATCATAATTCAGTGTAACAAGACAATTCTTATTTTCTAGCATCTTTTTTGTCAAAGATTTTCTCTTCCTTCCGTTTTACTCCATTTCCGTTTCAGAGTATCTACCATGGTATGTTTTGTTTGGACATTGAGAATAGATTCACACTGAATTGAACTGAACTGAAATTTAATGAGTTACCATGAAAGAGAGAGAGAGAGAGAAACCTTTATCTAATAGTTTGTTTCTTTTCATCAGCCATTACAATCAATCCCTTTAGATCAATACAATTTATTTCATGGTTGAATTTAATTGTAAACCATGAAAAAAGTTCAGCAGCTGAAACACATCTCATGATAATTGAACATGAAACTTTATCAACAATTGACACTCGGTTAGAAAAGTTTACCAATCTTACCATTAACTTAATTCACGTTATTACAATTTAGATTGTTCAATGTTTTTCCAATTTAATCTAATGGTTTAATCAGTGATGATCCACTAATTGTGATCAATTTAACTGTTATTGTCTTCCTTTTTTTTACTAAATTGTTCCATTGGAAAGTAATTAATTTTACTCTACTTTTCATTCGGGTTCAGATTTAATCCATATCGATTTTCCTTTTCATCTAATAATTGATTAATCTGAATTAATTGTCTCACTTATATCAAGCACAAACTAATTGACCATCAATAATCAAATTAGTTGATTATTTTTCTAATTGCATGGAAAAATTTTCAATTATATTGATAATAAGTAATCTGTAATAATCTGATTTTCTCGGTTAATTTTTCGATGTAACTTTAGAAAATTAAAAGAGAATCAACTAATTGTTTCAACTTACTTTACACGAATCTCTACCTTCCTCTCCGCCGGCACACATGAAGCTTTCATGAAGACGGAATCTACCGCCTAATCGAGTCCGTCTGAGTGTTTTTTGGCACTCATAGTTAGGGATGACCGGTAAACTGACCTCTTTCAGTATATTTGAATAGTGTCCACCCTCTAAAAAAATGAAAATTACTACATTAGATATCAAAGGTTGAAAGGTTACAATGACCAATCGACTTAACTGTAAGCGTTTTTACCCCAACCCGTTGTGACACAATTTTGACCATCGAAAACTTCATCGGGTGTTGGTAAGCAAATAGTATCAATGTTTGGCTTGAATGTAACGGGTTTAGATAGTTTCATGATGGCGATGTCATTCCAAAGATTATTGGGATTGAATTTAGGATGAATGTAAACACTGGCTACTTGGTAATCCTCATGGGGTAAGAATTCAGTAGTTTTCTGAGTATCCCATTCACCGAGACGAACCTTCAACTCACAAGAACCTGATTCAGTGACAAAAGGTTTAATACAATGAGCAACCGTCAGAACGTGCTGAGAATCGATTAAAGTTCCACCACATTGGAACATGTTCAAATCTCGTTCGATTTTCAGAACTGCTACCTAGAAAAAGAGAAAGATGGTGATAAAAAGAAAAGAAAAGAAAAGAAACTCATAAGATTGAAAAGAGAAAAGAGATGAAAAAAGAAGCCATTTTTTCCCATGAACACTTTGAATTCACATTCTGAAACCTTGGAACTATTTTCTCCTTGACGTAGTTAATTGTTATCCTTATGATGTAAGAAACAGGTTATTAGCCAAGTTTCAATCATGTAAAAGAAAAACTCAGAATGAAGTTCATCACCATGAAAAAAAAAGAATCTATTCTCATTATCGGTCTTCCTTCAGGGGAAATTGCATGTTACTCAATATAAACGAAATCATTTGATCAATGATAACAAGAATCACAATTTCCTTTCAGAATCATTCTAATAGAGATCATGTTTACCTTTTCATAGCAAAATTCTGCTTCAAATTCATAATATTTTCATTGAGAGTTTCATTTCAATTAAAGGTAAGTTTCAACTTTCAATTATAATTAGTTGATAAAAAGTTCAGAGACTATTATCATGCTAATGAATCATTTGGGGCTGAGAGTTCAGGGTAACTTTTTTTTCTCAACTTTTTCCTTCCTTCATTCTGTCAACATGGTTAATAATAACTTTCTAATATTTATTCAGCCTAATTTCAACCATGATATTGATGCTCTCAAGTTTCCTGTTATCAAAATCATTAACCTTGAATTCATTACAAATTAATTTGGTTCACCATTATCATGCTATTAATATGAATTAACAGATTATATTTGGAATACTGATTAACTTGATCTTTGGGATAATTTTTGTGAAATTTTGTAAAAATAATCGAAATGATTAACTTCCGTTACAGTGAAACATTTAGCATTCACCTGAACAAATTTAGTTTGTCATTTAGCTAATTAAACTTTTAGAGTTAATTTGAAGCTTAATTAGGAAGGTTATGATCTTACCTGCCATGGCCATTCACCGAAATCAGATTCACCTTTGGAACTTGGAACTAAAATTCGTCTATTGATTCCACTTGGATTACGAATTCCACATTTATGAGTATAAGGAACCTGAGATACTGTTTCCGGATCGGAACAACAAACATGGAAGGTACCACAATAAGGGGGCTTATATCGTCCATCCTGAAAGTAATAATGATCATGTTAAAGAATTGAAATTCATTGGGAATAAGTGGAGGAGAAAAAGTGATTCTTTACCAGAGGAAGCTCTTTTTTTGGTGGTTCCTTGATTCGAGGGTCAATTATTCCCGCTCCATCGTCAACTATGCGGCCATTATCACATTGGTAATAAGGAACACAAATGCACCCATACTCTTCTTGTCCGTCGTCTTCAGGGTAAGACTCTTCTGGTGGAGCGGGTTTCTTGTGAGGTGGAGGTGGTGGTGGTTGATATGGAGGTTCAATATGCTTAATTGGTTCAACCAGATCTTCTGGTAAATGCTTAGATGGACGATTTGGACATGTAGGTTTCTTATTGCATTCTGGTTCCTCGACAATTGGGATTGGTAAATGAGGTTTTCGGGGTGGATGAGGTTTCACTGGTCTCACAGGTTCGATCGGTGGTTGAACATAAACATTTGATTCAATGGGTTCATAAGGTTCACTTGGAGGTCCTTTTGGAGGTTCATAGTGTCCATGTGATGGCGGCGGAGGTGGAGGATGCAAAGGCGATGGTGGTGGGTGGTGATTGGGTCTTGGACGATGTTGCTCTTGGTTCTGACATGGTTTACATGGCTTAACTCCGGCATCAGTAAAAATTGTTGACAAAACTCCAACTGCACTTACACCAAAGGTTCTTGGTTCCAGTCCAGTTCCATTGGTGTTGACATTTTTCAAAGGTCTATTCGCTTGGACGGTCAAAAAGTAAACGATGAAAAGAACAGAAAACAAAAGTTGACCCATAATAAGCAGCAGTGGTCAGTAAAATAAAGTAAAACAAACAAACCTAAAAGGTTTATATTCAAGCCTATTTTTTGTTTTCTGTTGAAAAGTTTTCACTCTTTGCTGGTCAAGATTATTAAGATAATGTTGAATGTCCACTTCTAAAAAGGAGACTCACTCTCTTTAAACAAGAGTAGTGATGAAGACAACAAAGAAAGGCTATTTTCATGGTCAATGAAAACTCTCAAGGACATTTACAGGTAAATTTATCTCTATCACCATCATTACAAACAACACCATCATCTTACCTTAGGGTTTAATATATGGAATGAAAAATTCACACAAAAAAAACTTCTGACAAAATCATCAACACTTATCATTTCAATCAGACTTCATTGTAACGTCAATCATCATTAACATCCCCATCTCATTATCATCAAAGCATCGCAGGTAAATTCATTGTCAATGTTATTATTTTGTTGACTAGTTTACCTGAAATAAGCTTGAGAATTCATAAAGTTGGTATTACTTCACCGACGAGAAGCTTAACAGTTTGATACGCAAATATAAACTAATTTTCTGAACAATTAGATTGCTAGTCTATCGAGTAAAAAAACTTTGGGTTTATCAATTTTCAGATTAAAGTGTCAACACTTAATGAAATCGCGAGTTAACCTTAATTTTATTATCATAATCAGCGAGCTATTAGTTTACTTTGAGTACCGATAATTAACTGATAATTTCCTACAAAATAGAAATGAGATAACAAGGATAGTTGGTATAATCGAAATTAAATTTTATTGATTCTAAATATGGATTTCGGGGTTTGGATAGAGGAAGAGAAACTTTCCTGGTTCACAGAGCTAAACTTCATTTTCCACATGGGAGGGGCCCTTTTTCACAAGTTTACTTGTTGACTCGAGTCCATTGGCTTGGCCCATTTCCATTAAACTACGACGGCTTTTTAAAACACTTGACTTGTACTGTAAACTTGTACCAATGAAAGCGATCACAAGAATCATAAAGACTTGGACTAAGTTGAAATTCATATTAACGGATAGATTTTAACTGAAACAGCGAATTAAAAATACGATAAATTGTAAAACTATTCAAGAGAAGCTTAGTAATTTAATGGTTAGAAAGGAAAATTTATCCCACTTATATACGAATTCCAATAGGAAGTCATTTACGTTTTGTATACACAATAAGTTTCCAATATCACTCAGTTGGTTAAATAATGATCTTCAAATTAGTAATTGTTTGAACAAAAACAGTTAATCAATTAACTATTTTTCTAGTTTGATATTTACTTATGGTGACCTAAATTCAGTTACACAAAAAATAAATGCTTATATTTCATAGACTTTTGTGAATATTGGCCATTAAGATGATTTCATTATCACTTGTCGATAAGCAACTGATGATTTGAATTTAAATTTAAATTTCTTTATGGTATCTCAATTGCGATAATCTTTCTGAATGATTTAGATTTAATGACTGATCAATAGTCGCTAATAAAGGGCTTTTCCATTAACTAATTTTTTAAACCAATTTGATTAATCTGAATTATGGTGAGTTTTTTAGATAAGATTATCTTCATCACTACGATTAGATTACTTGTTGGTTATTTGAAAAGCACAGTGGAAGCTACGGCAAAAAGTTAATGAAAAAGCCCTTAAATCAATAATTGCTTTTGCATCAGCTGATACGCTAATGAATCTATTGGTTATTGACTCTGAGATCTATCAGAACTTTTCAATTTGAATTGCTTGATCCGTTCACCTTTTAAACTAATGCGGAAGTTTATTCATCACTTGATCTATTCAATTGAGGTTATAACGAAGCATCTAAGTTGGGTGTATTCACCTAATTTTGATCAGAATGCATAGATGCAGATAATTTATGAGAATTGGTTTGGGGTAAGAGTATTCGCGAATTTCAGTGACCTTTAAATACTTCAAAAGTGTTTTTAAGAGAAACATAATCAGAAATGAAATTTATGGTGCTGATGATTCATTAATTCATTAATTCACGAACTTTTTGATCTGTACGAAGCAAATACCGAGACTTTGAAGAGACAGACCAGCCAATAATACTCATCTATCGCGTGATTATGATAACCTATTGATAAAATTAATCAAAGTTGGTGAAACTTTCTAACTTTGTTTTATTGTTCCAAATTCATGTAAACAGAGTAAATTTTGCTACAGACTTTTCTCAGTTCAATGATGACGATAGTGATGAAAATTGATCAAATTAACAATAAAAGTTTTATTACCTGATTAGTTAAATGAATACATTTTGTACCTTTGTCGCTAGGAAACTGAACAGATTGATGATTCTTGTGATCCTATTATGAATTGATAATATTTTCTTTAGTATTGATGATGATTGTTGAGGAACATAGTAAATAACTACAAAAAATAAGACAAATGATCCATTGTTATTATGTTTATTTCTGGTTTCTCATATTTACTGGTCATTACAGTCAAATCAACTTGAGTTGGTTGTTTCCTTAAGATCAATTGGAACTTTTTCAAAATGAAATGGATAATCCTCATTCGTTAAAAAGATTAAGATAATCTTTTTCAAAAAGAATTGGATTTTTGCAAATTCAGAGTAAATTTCTGCAAAATGAATTGGTCTTCTACGGGTTAATTTTCAATGGATTGTCTTAATAAACTTTTTACTAAATATTTTCTCATGTTTTTCTGGTAGTTTTGGCAATCATCGTCAGAGATACAATCAGAAATTCTATCATTTTTATTAACAGATGAAGACACCGTACTGCCACTGAATAAATGAATTGAATTGAAACTCATCAAACTTAAGAATAGGTCAAAATTCCAATTCATTGTGAAAAAATTCCATTTTATTGTGAAGATTTCCAATTCTTTTTGAAAGGGTTGAGGAGTTAATCCATTTGCCTCAAGGTCTAACCAAATCATTTTCAAAAAGTTCCAATTCATTTTGAAGAAACAACCAACTCAATTTGATTTGACTGTAAATGACTTTGATCATCTTCGTAAGATGTTGGTCAAGGCTCTGGTGACGAGAAAAAGTTATTGCCAAAACTACAACGGTTATAATTTTCGCCGCGTTGTTAAATGTACACTCGAAGCATCGACAGTCCATGAAAGTTTCCCAGTGAGCTTTGAAAACGGTTTCCAGATCTCTCTTTTCTACTTCTGGATGTAAAATTTTCCGCAGATCAGTTAACTTTTCATGAGGAATTTGAACATCATACACTGAATAGCCTGAGATCATACTTGGAGCTCGAGATGAAGATACAGACGAATATCTTTGCGAGTTATTAAGTTTCGGACGTTGAGTATTCATATTCTAAATAAAGAAGTAATCAAATTATCAAAATCGAGCAAAATTCAAGTAACATTACATGTAAATCTCATAAGAATCAATTCATTCAGATGACTAGATTATCAACCATTGTTTTTGAAACGTAAAATTTGAAGGTTGAACTGAGCTAATTAGTACCTTTCGAAACTTATCATTGAGGTTCTTATAAATTAGTTCCCAAAAATAAAAATTCGCTTCTAGTTTTCATTTGAAGAAACCAAACCACCAAATGAAGAAACCAAGTTTTCATTTGAAGAAACCCCAATGCTTTTACTCGTATAACAATTGATATCAATGATACGAGACTTCGGACCTTCATTTTTTGATTATTAATTTTAGAGCGAAAATCGGTCTAGAAATGAAGTTTTATATTCAAAATCATCATACATGTGATTTAAATTTAATTTCGACTTAGAATTAATTGATTAATCACAATTAAAAATCGTTTTGGTTTCTTCAAATGAAAACTAGAAGCGAATTTTTATTTTTGGTTTCTTCAAACGGGAAACACTGTATGATTGATTCAATTATTGAGTTGAAATTTTTTTCACAAAATTGTAGATGCCTATGTATTAATATCATATAAAAGATAAGAATCATCATGATGCAGAGATTAATATTATTATAATGATTCTTTTTTGTCATTTTAAAAGATCGCGGAAGAACTAAGATCGTTTTTCTCGTTTCCTATTTTCCATTTTCTTTATCATCATCATCATCATCATCATCCAACATCAACACAAGTTCCATTATCTCTTTCGCATTTTAATTCCCTTTCTTTCTATTTCTCTTTCTTTACTCTCTTATTACTATTTCAAATTAACGACTGATAGACTATGAGTTAAAATAAGTCATTGCATCAAGAAAAAGGCTGAATAACAACAATTGCAGCACTTTAATGGCCTGAGAATTGAAGATTGATACTGATTGAAGATAATAAGTAGTAGTAGTTAACATTAGTAGTAGTAAAAAGGGGGGGTCAGTGTTGCCGGAAGCTACACTACCGACCACCCAAACCGTACCGACCATTTCCGGTATTAAGGTGATGATGTGGGTGGTGGTAACTTCCAGAAACACTCTTGTCCTCCGGAAGTAAAGTTTTCTGGGTGAAATTTTTTCTCTTTTTTTCTGTTGAACTATTAATAATTTTTATTTTCTAATTTCAACTAAATGAATCTTATGGCTTCAAATGATTTCAATGATGAAATAAAATTTATTTTTACATCAAAACTTTTGCATTTTGATTTAAATTTGCAACATTAGTTTTTTAAATGGAATTTTTTGCAAGAGAGTTTTAAAAGGTGAATGCAAATATTATGCATAATATTGCATATGCAAAAATAAATGAAACCGTTAAATATTGGGATGACCAGCAAGTCGATTTAATTCTTTTATGAAATAATCACTCGATCGTTCCAATAACTTAATTGTTTCAATTATTTTTGCAGTATCAGCATTTTGTGCATCAAAAGAAAAATTTGCGCGAGTTACAATCTCCTCACGGATACCAATTTCACCCACAAAAACTTTACTTCCGGAGGTTACAAGTGTTGCCGGAAGTTACCACCACCCACATCATCACCTTAATTGTCTGAGCGTAAGCGAAGACCTTACGTCGAAAAATCAAAATTTCGTGGAACGATAGCGATCGTAATTTTAATCCAATCTTTACCGAAATTTCAGAATAGGTTCAGATGATGGTTCTCATCACCTGTATAGTTTTTGGTAAAGATTGGCCCACTCCCGAAAATTAGTAATTTTTCTTCACGCTAGATAGCGATAGCATCTATCACCATGGTAACGCGCTACCGCTAATTACAAATTTTTTTTATTCTTTTTCTTTTTACTTTCTCTTCTTTCTTTCTCAGTCTCTTTCTCTCATTCTCTTTCTCTCATTCTCTTTCTCTCAGTCTCTTTCTCTCAGTCTCTTTCTCTCTTTCTCTTTTTTTCTTTCTTTTTCTCTCAATCTCTTTTTTTTTCTTTTTCTTTCATTCTCTTTCTTTCATTCTCTTTCTTTCATTCTCTTTCTCTCTTTCTCTCAGTCTCTTTTTTTCTTTTTTTTTCTTTCTCTCCTTTTCCAGCATACACGCGCTCAGACGTTACTGTCGCTGCAGTATGCCTAGTACCGGAAATGGTCGGCACGGTTTGGGTGGTGGTCGGTAGTGTAACTTCCGGCAACACTAACCCCCCTTTTTACTACTATTAGTTGTAGCGGTAATGTTGTTGTTAGAGTGATGGTGATGGTATCGATAATAATAATTAAAAATAACATAAAAAGTGTATACCATATACCAACATTAAGAGCTCATTAGCAATTCCAAGAAATTGAAATGATCGTGGAGATTATGAAGTAGCAAATATCTCGAGTCTATCTAGTAACGTTACAGAATAAAGTTTGGAAATTTATATTGATAATGATATCTGCATAGAAAGTTTAGCAAAATATGTGTTAACGTTGATGTGTGAATAAACCATTAAGGAGCCCTGTATAATCTTGTCTGATCTATAGCGCCCATGATTTTTCCGATTCAAGCATATCAAAAAATAGGCAATTTCATACCTTAAAGTATCATGTTAGCATAATCATATTTCCAGCAGATATATTCGTCACTAACATTACTGTACAGCCAAAACAAAGGTCTTCTAGGTATAAGAAATTGTCGGAGGGTTGAATTATTTACCCATTCACGCCCCGAGGTCAATTTTCTGAAGTCTGGTCAAGTAGCGTTGTGTTTGAGTGTAAAAGTCTAGGCGTACATTACCAGAGGCTTGTTAACACAACAAGTACTGGGGAAAGATAGAGGTTGAGAACAAAAATGACAATAAATGTAGAGAAGAAGTTACGAGAAACTAACATGAACCTTGAATGATGTAGCTGCATGACATGCAACGCTATAAGCAGCAAGAGCTCTCAAAAATTCTTTTTCATAAAGCTTTTAATACAGTCTCATGAAAGTGTATAGCAGTGCGGTCTCCTAGCAACTAAGATTTAGAGAAGTAAGATGTGCACAGTAAAGAATGTTCTTATAAGTAGAAATAGCTCCATTTATTGTTCATTGTTTTTGTAATTAGAATAATGAGAAAAGAGCTGGAAGCTAAAAAGTAAAAGAAAAATGAAAACATCTGTATTGTGATTATTCATGCACCTCAAGATAAAATTGACATTTCCGTGGTCTGAGGTGTTTTAACAGACGCATTTTAAAAAATTAAAATGCTTACAGATAAAAGGCTTATGCATAATGTACGTGCATAAAACATACTTTTGTTAGGCCAGTTAATCTTAGGTGAGATTTTTGCTGCTTCAACGTACTATGAAAAGAGATATGAATGCGGAATTTGCATGTTCATTCTGTAGTACCAAATATAGAAAGTTTGCGCGAAGGCTGTAGCAACATCTAAAACAATTACTTTTTCATAAAAAGAATACCAAGGCATCCTGTGGAATGTCAAAGTGTCTGATTGATATCCTGAGCTATATCTTGTTAATTATGGTCATTTTTAAGTGTAAACCTAATACAAAAGAGAAAGGGAGAGCTAAAAAGCAAGATAAAAGAAACTAATAAGGATCATCACGATTGATACATTGATAATAAACTTGCTTAAAAAGCTGCTAGCTTCTTCTAACTAACTTCACTTTATTATTTTAAGGATAGTAGCATCACCAACTTTTGCGGAATGAGAACCTTTTCCGTTTAAGATGTAATTTTCAGGACCAATGATGATTGATTTGGCATTTGACCTAATAATATAAATAAACAATATTTTCATCTAAAAAATGGTTTGATAGATTTGGTTCGATTCGCTTAGGTTTTCTTTTTTTAAATGATGCACAAATTTCTGATCATCATCTTACTCTCTCTCTCACTAATCGTATTTAGTAATTAACAGACAACTAGATGAATAAAACGATTGATGAAAAAAAAAATAATACGGTGGAAAGATGTTGATTAGTACACTTATTGCACTTTCAGAAAATTATATTTTTTTCGGAAAAATATCTAAAGCGTTCAGGTCAGAGCAACATTGAGTTCAGATGAATGGACCGCTCTAGTGACCAAATTCTGGGGTCAACAAAAGTCCTGCCTACCTCCGTATGGTGCTGTCCGGGTTACGCTAACAGGGAAAAGCCATAGAGCACGCTTCAAAGGTTGAGTATCGAATGACCATAATCTGTTCAGAATAATATTTGTATCACAAAAAACCAGTTTTGTATGATACTAATATTAATGTAAACTATAACTTGAAAAAATATCAAGGTTATTCAAGGTCATATCACTCTCGCACACACTAATCGTAACTAGTATTCAACAGTCAACTAGATGAATGAAACGATTGATAAATTGATAAAAAAACTCTGTTTGATAATTTGCAATTACAGATTGCTAATATTAGTCGATGGAATATAAACAACTATGAACAATGGAAAATGAAAAATGAACAATCAGTTTAAAATTTAGAATAATGAGAACTCTATTGTTTCTGTCAAAAAAGTCATAATTGAATTTCATTCGATCTGCAACACGCATGCTCCGAATCTGAAAGAATGCGTTTGTTAGCTCAAATCTATTGTTACTCCTACTATAACCTACCAACACCATCACTCAACAACATTACCGCTACAACTACTGTTAACTACTTCAATGCATTATCTTCAATCAGTATCAATCGTCAGTTCGCAAGCCATCAAAGTGCTGCTCTCCAGCAGCATTCTTAGTTGTTTAACAATCTGTAATTGAAAGTTAGCAAAACATTGAAAGGCAAAATAAGAAATTCGCAATGTTTAAGACGCACGAAAGAGTCATTTATTTTTTTGCTTACTTATATTGATCAGTGTTTGAGGAAAGTAGCTGCAAATTTAGACTATTCTGAGATTATTCATGAGCTTATCTGTACTAACACTCTTAGCATTATTATAGAGAAGTTATGATTAGAAAAACATTGTTTTTGGTGTGGTATCTCAGAAGCATGACCATGAGATGGTATTTTTATATTGCATCAAATAAATTGCAATATACTTGATGGAATCTGATCTTACGGCTTAACAACCAAATAATTCTTCTTTTGATTTCTTATTACTTGTCGGTAAGTTTCCTGGTTAAATTATTTTCTTTACAGACAAAAATTTTGAGAGCGGAAGTTTAGTTAAGTTCAAGTGTGAAATTTATTAGTGGAGCTATTGACGAGCGGTGTATATTCACAGTAAGTAAAAAAGACTGTCTACAATGAGCCGTTGGTGCTTAAACTTTTGACGAGTTGATCGCTATGCAATGTTAATGATTAATTAAATAATTAATTAATAGAAATTATGTAAGATAAATTTTTCTTCATTTTCAAAACTACTACCAATGACTATAACTATTCTGAAAAAATTATAAATTTATCTTAACTAAAACTCGAGTTATAATCAATTGATTGTTGTCCTTAAACTTTTGCCGACGTCTGTATATATTCCTTGTTCACGCTTTATGTTCTTACGTATTAATATCATTAACATTTTTATATTCTTACTAGATTATTAACTTAACTGCAATCAGATTTGGTTCCCAAGCCAAATGTAATTGAGGCTACTTTAGCGTTAGAAGCTCAAACTGTTGTTGATTGTAAAAAGATTGTTGAATAAATAGTCTAAGACATTAGCATATCAAATGCTAATCGCAGTCTAATTAGCTAAGCTAAGTTAAGGAAAAGTTTTGAAATTCGCTCCATTTTCAAATGCGTCATGAATTCATTTTTCAAGACAAATTTTCAACGATCATGAAGTTTCTTGATGGTGATTATTAACGATTTGGGTGTGGTGTTGTTACTAGACATCCATTCTGTATTTAATTGCTACTTCTGTCTCTTATAAGGCAAGAATTAATCTTAAGAATAGCGATTCTGAAAGTAATAGTTACACGTTAAATGTTAGACTTTAAACAGACTAATATTGTAAATGATGACAAACAGCAATTAATATGATAAGTCTGAGAATGAAAGGTATAAATCTCCACCCAATAAGTCTCATTACCATGATTCTGGTAGATAATTAATGTATTATAAGTGATTATTGTCAAAGTTTCATGGTTATTAATAGTTGAGACTAATGTAATAATAATTTCGGTTGTGATCCTTTCTTATTGAAACTTTCGTTTCAATTCAAGTTTTCATCGCCAAGTTATCAAGAGTTGAATCATCGATTGGGTGAAAAAATATTGGGTATTGATTCATTTTACCCATGAAATAAATAAATAAATTGACGGTGACAACAATCAGCCTAAGGATTTACAATTAGAGTGGTGACATGAGAAAGGCTAATTTTGGGTCACATCTTATTCAGAATGATAATAACATGGTGAAAGCTAATTTCTGATTCAGTTGATACTGATTAACCTTATCTGACAGACTGAATATGAATATATTGTTATCATGGTAATACGATATTCTGGGTCAATGGCGTTGATTGTGTCAAAATAGAAACTAAATTACTTTTCTCCTCTAAATATGATGATAATCATCAACCGATTATCATAAGCTTAATCAATCAACGAACTTTAAATTATTAATGAGAACTTGAAACAAAACAAAAAGTTTATTAAAAGGTTAAAATCGCTATGAAAGATTTCATATTCTAATTGTGATTAAGCTAATTGCTCACTAAATCAAAATTTTCATCATCTTCAGGTTAGATTTTTCCTAAAATTAATTATTAATGATCAACGGTTGTATTATTTACTTGTTATAATGAATACACGTAATGATAATTAACAATTTGATAAATAAAACAAGAGTAATTGTAAAATTATCAATAATTAAAAATTAAACTTCCCAGTGAATTTGAAAGTTAAATTGATGCAAATTTTAATGAACTTTACAATTAACTATTCAAATGGAAACTAATATTTACATCTGAATATTTGGTTAAATTGTTTTTCCTAATTAATATTAACGACTTGATTGTATTACCTATCAACTATTTCTGTTTGTGGCAATCATCATGTATTCATCATGATACAAATTCTGGTATCAAAGTAAATACCTGAGTATTAATAGTTAGATTTGATATAATAAACTGATTGTATGAACTTTTTTTCTCACCCAAAGTTCATTAGATATTATTAGAACTGAAAAGTGAATCTCATTAGTTGAATCAGGATAGGAAACAGAATTACATATGTACAATGTTACTCTGATTTCTTTTTATAAAATTAAGTTCATCAAGAATAGTTGATTCAGTATCATGATACTTTTCGAGTTTATCAGAACTATTTGTAAGAAGATATTCCTCTTAAGTCTCTCAGAATTTTAGTTTTCTTGAATTTAGAACATTAAATTTGTAGAAACTTTTTCTTTTTCTTCATATTCAAACTAAACTTTCTCGATATCGTTTCATTGATTGCGTGCTGAATATTAAGAGTGTTCATTTGATTGTTCCAAAAGATAATGATCATAGTTGTAGTTAATCATCAAGATTCATATTCTCATGATGTAAATTGCATCTACAGGGTAGAAAATCAGAATTGAATTGAAAGGCAGAAACTTCATATTTAAAACTTTGTATCATAAATTGATAAATGAACATAATCACTTAAATGAATCATAAAATTATTCATATAAAGAACAGATCTTCATGAGTGAAATTAAACCCCATTTAATATGTTTAATCCTTTGAGTTAAATTGACTAATTAAATCTAACTTAATAATAATGAAACTGCATTGTCAGAGTGAATAAGATAAATTTATGAAAAATAGTGAAACAAAATGAGTTCCAATAAAATCAGTGATCAAGTCAAAGAATTGATTATTCGAGCTAATCGTGATGGTATTAAATGTAATGAAATTAGTAAACTTTACAACGTCAACAAACACACCGTGAGGACAATCATCAGAAGGTTTGATATCACCTCTATTATTTCACCACCGAGAGGGAAGAAACCAAAAAAAATTACTGATGAAATGGCTAACGAGTTACGTTCTTGGTTCAATGATGATTGCCAATTAACAATATCGGATGCAAAGGATAAGTTACAAGAAAAATATGGTGTTGACGTTTGTCTGAATACAATTCGAAATTGTATGAAAAACGTTCTAATGTTTTCGTTTAAGAGAATATCTTTAGTACCAGAACGAAGAAATGATCCGAATACTATTCAGCGTCGTAAAGACTATGCAATAGAATTTATGGATCTTCATATTCAGAGGAAAAAGATATTCTTTCTAGATCGACTGGAATTGCCATTCATGCCAGGAATCACTATGGATGGTCCAAAGTTAGGCATAGAGTAAACATGTAAAGTCAAAGCCGTAAGAGGGAGGAATTATCAATTTGTGCTGTGGATGGAAATGACATTGACTGAGGCCAAAGAAAGGTTGTCATTAAATGATCTTTGTCGACTTAAAAAGTTCATTGATCATTTGGAATCTGATAACATCGTTGGTGCTGTTGTTGTAATGGACAATGTCCCTTTTCATCATTCGACAGAAGTTGAATCATTATTTCAATCGAAGGGTCATCATCTTCTCTTTCTTCCGGCCTACTCTCCTTTCCTGAACCCAATTGCAAACCTTTTCAATCAACTAAAACATTGATGGTGTTTTTCGTGGAGTTGAATTGGTATCAGAGTTAATTGCATCAATTGTTTGTCAAAATTACTCCGATCACATGACGATATATTCCAAAGTGTATGACTAATCAAGAAATCGCTAATTAAGTACAAATAAAACAATCAACTTATTGTTCGTAAACAATTTTGCATTCACTCGAAATGCGATTTCATTTCGAGCAAGTGAGATTACGTTCATTCGATTTGAGCTAAGGATTAAATGAGTTTAGCTTAAAGGGTTTACGTTCACTCGAAATGAGATCTCATTCTCTATAAATGAGTTTATGATTCACTCGAAGTGATTTGACTGTAAATGAACATAATCAGCAAAAGTAATAAATTATCATTGATATGAAAATTATTCATCATAAAATTGAACCATTTTCATGGGCACTGATTGTTTATGATAATTTTAATCATCAGCATAATTAGAGGGCAGTGGAAATGTTTAAATCACATAATTGAGTTAACCTTGTACCCAATAATTACCATGATAACTGTAATAATAATATTAACATGATCATTGTTCAGGTGAGTGAATTTTTTGTTCATTTATATCATGTAATTGTCATGTTATCATCTTTTAGCTTTTACCATGATTACTTTCATAAGGTAATTTCTCTAGTTAATTTTTTTTCCTTCTCTGAGTTTCAAGTTCATGGAACAATTGATTTCTGAATGAATGAATTCAATGGTTTACGAGTAATAATCAATCGTCTAATCCTTACCTGTGACCTTGATTCGGGATTGAGTATCTTGGTCGCCCAGCCAGGACTCGGCACTGAGGATTCATTGGATTCTGGTGTATCCGGACATGGAGATGATCCTGATAATCGTCGTTCCAATGCAATTTTCTTGTCGGATGAAACTTTTTTCAGTAAATTCTTAATTCCATCACTTTGATTGTCATGGTTAATTTTTTTATCGTCATCATTGATCACTGAATTGCTTGAACAATTTACTTTTGTTGAGTTACTTGTATTAATATTATTTTCATTTGCATCAGTATTTAATTTGCATTTATCAATATTCTCATTGATAATCTCATCTTTAAGTTGATTATCTTTGATTGTTAGTTGATCAGTTTCTTTAATTGTTTCCATATTTAATCTAATCTCAGATAAATCAGTTTGCAATTTTTTGGTTCCTCTTGATTGTTGATTTTTCTCCAGCAAAGGAAATGGGTTTCTAGTTAATCCATTGGGTAATGAGCCGTTCATCATGGTTTTATCGGGTTTCGGTTGATCTTGATTAGATTTTGATAAAATACTGTAAATAGTCATTTTTGATTCTCCTTTGTTTTTACTATTTAAATTGTAAGTATTTTTATTTAGAGGTGAAAAATTTGGTAAAGAATCAACAACAATTGGCCGTGAGGGTGCAACTGATTCAATGGTTAATGATGATGGTGCCGTTGATGAAGATGAAGATGATTTGGTTTTAGAACTTTTTTTCAATGATTTTGATGATGAAGGCTCAGAATGAACCTCAGCATGTGTAGTTTTTGATAATAAAACTTGACCGTCAACAAAATGACCAGAACTGATATCAAGTGTATTTGTATCATGAGTTGATAATTCATCACATGGGGTGAGCTGAATTTGTTTGAATGGTTCAGGATAAGGTTCAACGGATGAGCTGACAGAGATTGGATTATGATTGATAATTGGTATGAAGTAGGGACAACCCTGGGTTGTATTATCTTTAATTGTTGACTTGATTTTCCTTTTATCACTTGATACATTTGCTGATGATAATGAGCAAGATGAGGCTGATGAGCAGGTTGAACATGGAGAAGTGGTTGGTGTTGATGATGAACATGATGTTGTTGAAATTGACCTTTTCTTATCCTTTTCTGTTGATTTTTGACTAAAACTTTTGTTGCTGTTTTGATTATTTTTAAATTGTAAATTGTTTTCAATGTACTTAGACATTTTTTCCTGTGATGATGGACACTGTCCACTTTTGAGCTCATCGTGACTGTGGTCCCAGGTTGTTGACAGTCCGAGAAGGTTATTCAATATCACTTTAACGTGTAATGATAACCCAAAGGGTAAATAATAAAACACAGAGAAAATAAAATCTATCAAATCAACAAACAAAACAAAACAATCTAATCAAACTCTTAATCAGTGATATGATTTCCACTCAAATCCAATCAATTAGATGCAACGAGTCACCTGATTGTGATCTAACTCGTAATCTATTGAGTTATCGTTATACAAGATCATCGGGTAGATAATGATGATTAAATATAATTAAAATTGATGGATTGATAATCTGGTTCCTTATTCACAGAGCACTGAACACAAATGATAATAATGTTTGAGATCAAGATATAGATGATAAAAAGAGTAGAGAGAGAGAGGACTCACCTTATTCATTGAGATAATGTCTTCTTCCTTCAGATGACAATGATGATAATCTGAGATTTTCACTTAACGATAGAACTGGATGAAAGTAATTGATATTATTATTGTTTGATGAAAACATCGTAACAATATTTTAATCACATTATCTCAATCCTCTTCCACGATTAATGTAATAACAAGGTTAAAGTTTCTCGATACAATTGTTTTCATCTTTGTTCAATCTATCCCTCTATCTGTATGTTCAACGGACGATATTTTGTTTTATTAGTTTCTCTCTGGGACGATCATCATCTCGTTTGGAAGATGGGAATGAGATTGATAAACGAGAGAGAGAGAACAGCGAAATCTGAAAGAATATTTATCTTCTGTAAGTTTTATTCACTTACAGAATATTTTTATCAATCTCTCTCTCTCTATTTCTATTTCTCTCCTTCGATCGATATCATCATTTCCATCTTCATTGTTATCATTTTCAGAGGAATCACAGAATCATCTTCTCACTCCCAGAGAGAATCAGGATGATAAATTCTGATAGTAACTGAGTGGATGCGAGTTTCTCAACTGATAAATGCTATGAGAAGGGATAAACATGATGACGAGAGAACGAGTGAGAAATTATCACTAGATCGTTTTTTACATTTTGTTGAAAAAAAAACTCGATTCTGATTCGTGATTTGATTTATGTTATTTATCATTTTCATCTTTTTTTGTCACTTTTTTTTCAAGGATAAATTTGTGTTGATATTTCATTGAATTTGATAACAATGAATATTGTTGAGTAATTATTGTTACAATGATTTGATTCATGGGAAAACAGAAATGTACATATGATTGTTCAGAATAAATTGTGAACTTTTGATTTGATTAGCATATAACAATACATTTGAAAAGCAATCATTTGATTGTTTCCAGTGATCATGTAGTTGACATAATGTAATATAATCCAACAATCAAGATACCCGACTGATTAATTGTAGCACATGAGGACATGGGATACATAAATTTAGTTGATTGATTTTTTCACCACACCATGTATTATATGATATTAATAACTATTTTCTAAGGATTAGCCTTAGATAAACTCACAGTAATCTCATTACTATTAACCAAAATAACAATCAAATCTGTTGGGTTGTGAGTTGACCCCAATCAGAATCAATATTCATCCAATTGTAATATACATAACCGGATGATCAGCTAATCAGAAAAATTCCCATTCAACATCCTCGATGAAAGATGATATTTGTATCATTTTCTATGCTCGAAAGCTTTACAATTGCATCGAAATTTAAGTTCAGATCAATATGATTTTCACGATAAAGACTATGTTAGAATTTATTAAGAAAAAATCAATGTAAACAGAAACATATCTTAGATTAACATGTATTCATAACAACATGAATTTTACATCGATAGCATAAAGAAAAAGGTATTGACTGAAAGACATCAAATGAAATTTCTCATTGAAATTTACGCAGAGCCAATGAACATTTCATGAGAAGTTCATCCACCGAGAATCTATTTCGAGCAACATTGATATTTTCTACCACCATCGCAGTCAGTGCTAGCTCTTTCTATTCGGTTATATTGACCACATCCTTTGATTGCCCAGTCACTTCTCTGACACCCAGTCCACCAACAATCTATCGATAATCAATTAAAAGTAAATCATTGAATAGAATATGAGAAAATAAATCATCAGAATCACACAGTTGACTTATTTAAACTTACCAGCTGATACAAAGTAACCAAAGTTCATCGTTGCAAGCAAAACAATCACTGCGAGGATAAAGGTTGGATTGAAAACTTTTGCCATGGTCAAAATTGAGACTTGATTTAAACACAGAGAAAAACTTTACCAACTTTAATTAACAAAGTAAATCAGTTATTCAAATGATCACTGATGATAATCAAAACTAATGGTTTAATCTAAACTGATTTGAGCTTAAATAGCTTCCTCGAAACTTGCTCCCTTAGACTTGAAGTGTCTCAATCAATGGACATACGAGTGGATATTAATAATAATAATAGTGGTGATGTCGATATCTTAGCTAATCAACTAATTACACAATCAATTATTGAATAATTTTTCAATTTTTTGCAATAAATTTTACTTATCTTTTCAGCTAATTACGATCTCGAAACTTAATTATTAATAAGAAACGCTAACGTTTAGTAGTAAACAAGTTAAATTGAGTAAAGTTCAAGATCGTAACTATTAACATTATCGTAAGTTTGTAAAACTTTCATTGGTAATAATTAACTAACTTGTTTTCTTGCCTCACAAGAGATTGTCATTGGTTCTTATGATAATTTACTCTGTTAATTTTTCCAAGGTTTTTAATTCATCTTGATCAATATACTGGTTTTACCAATTGCTCATTTCAATTGAAAATCTCAATCTCATTATATTAATTAGCTGATTGTACAATAACAAATTGTGCTGGAAATTTGTAAACAATTACAACTAATGATCGAGGAAACTTGTTAGAATCGTAATCGATTTTGTAACTGATAAAATCGCTGATTGATTTCTGTTTACAAAAGTTTATTTTCCATAAGTAAATTAATTATCTTTATAATTAATGTTTTCCTTTTTCTTATATAAATAAACTGATTTCAATTGGATACACGTATTGACGTTTATCGAATTGACCTTAATCGCTTCCAATTTCACAGCATTCGTATAAATCGCCATCAGGACAAGGTTTAGAACTTTTTTCTTCAGTATCTGATGGACATCCTCGTCTCTTCCATGACTTTCCCTGGCATGATGACCACCAGCAGTCTTTCTCCTTTGCTTCAGAATTTTTTATCGATGGTGGTTCACAACAATAGTATCGGTTTCCATTATAACATTTCCGGCTGTCCAGTTCAGTTCTAATTGAATGAATAAGTGACCAGCATTAATAAACTATTGAAGGGAAAAATCAGTTGACTTACTGATTGAAATCAGAGCAACCAGTGTCCACGTCACGATTTTGGCAATTGGTCCACCAACATTCAGATCCAGCAACAAGTTCAGGTTGAGTTTGTTTCGATTTACTTTCATCGATTGTAGAGATTTTCAAAAGTGACCTTTTATTGTAATTAGTTTCTTTTGCTTATCCATTAATGTTCAACCAGGATTATTTCACTGTTCGAAGTAAACTTACGATTTATCCATGGTGTTTTTTGGACAACAATGATACTCTTTTCCACCATCACAAACTTGGGCTGCTTTTTCATTCATATTGTACTGACCACAACCAACCACCGCCCATGAACTTAATTGGCATCCAGTCCACCAACAGCCTGTAGCAAGCGCCGTATCATCGGCTGAAGCTCTGGGGAATCAAAAATTAGCAAAGACTAACATTGAAAACAAAATCGACTTACAACTATTACAATCTAAGATCTGAAATACTTACGGAGCCATCGGAGGTGGACAACATTGGTACTCTTTACCACCGTCACATACTTTAGTAGCAATTTCGATCAAGTCATATTGACCACAGCCGACAACAGCCCATGTGCTTTTCTGGCACCCTGTCCACCAACAGCCACGAGCTGATAACAATTGAACTCAAATTACTGAAACCGTTGATTGTGTTAGTAATTGGAAACTGGATTTGTAAAAAAGTGTTACAACTTACCCATTGATAAATTGAGATTTCCAATGATAAAAACTACAATAAACAAATCGTTCAATGGCCTGAGAGACATCGTCCGACGATACGAAGTATTTGGCAACTTTTCTTAGGTTAAAACTTGGCTTAAGGAAAACTTAATTGTAATAGATGACAACGAATCAAAATTTATTTGTTCAACTTAATGGAGATCAAAAAATGAAACAATTTACCTGCGCAACGAATTTGGAATGTTGATTAAACAAGGATAACTGGTTGGGAATTAACTGGATTAGTAGAGACAAATCATTAGTGTGGAGCAAAAATTAATCTTTGATTGATTGGTAACCTCAAATTGTTGGAAGTTTCAACAAAGCAGTTTAAGAGAAATCGATTTTAATCTTGATATTCATTCAGTTGAATAGAAATTTTTTCAGAAAAATATTCAAAGCATGGTTGGGATGATGAGAATCTTCAAATTTTAATTGGATCAATAACTAAGAAGATGGGTGAGCAATTACGGTTGACAATTAAGTATTTTCCTCTAAAAACCTTTCGCTTAAGTAACGTGCTTGCGAATCGTTTGCTGATTGGAAATTGTGTTGAGAAAATTTAAAAGATCACAAATGAATTACAATGATAACCGAATAAGATAAAACTTTCAGTCACTTTCACGATTCTCATCTACAGCCAAAGACTTTGAGTTTGCAACCCAAAGAGTAATAGCAAGAGAGAGCACTTGGATGTAACCATCGATAAGGTTTTATCTCTCCTTATCTCTTCTTATCTTAGGGAAAAGGATGAGATCCAGGTGGTAGCACAATTCGTTCCGTACAAAACGTTACCGAGTCGCGGATTCGGTAATTAGAGCCTTGTGAAGAGAAAGTTACGAGCCTCTGGTGCTTCCACCTGGATCTCATCCTTTTCCCTAAGATAAGAAAGATAAGACCTTATCGATACATTTCATTAAGTGCTGTCTCTTGTTATTACTCTTTGTTGCAACCACTTTCTAAATCATTCACGCAGTTGAATATAATCAATGAGAGATACAGTTAACCCAAAAATATGATGATAAGTCTGTCCACTAATTTAAGGGGTGTAGTCTTAAAATGGTCAACTGATTAGATATCAAAAGTTATCTTGATTTGATTATCATTAACTGCGTGAATGATTTAAAAAGTGGTTGCAAACTCAAAGCCTTTGGCTGTATATCATAGTACAATAATATGTATAATCTTGACACAAGTTCGACTTTAACCATTTTCAGCTATGGATAAATGTCGCTCATTATCATTGATTGTTCGATGGCCAACAGGACTGATTTTTCAACCGATTGATTCATTTTGGGCGGGAAATTATACCAGACGTTTCAAGGTCAATTCTGAAGCTTCAAATCTCACTGAACATTCATGACAATTCTCATGATTGCTCACTGCTGCCATCTAAAGATGAAATTAGATAACCTGAAGCAAGAAATCTTCGATAGCTGTGTGACTATTATTAAGAACAAAAACTTTTTTACTTTTTTCATGTTCGAAAATTTTGATAAATATACAGTGTTTCCCGATTGAAATGACCAAATTTTCAATTGAGAAAACCTTTTTTTCATTTGAAGTAACCGAAGATAAAAATATGAATTTACATATTGTTAGTTTTTATATGGAGAAACCCAAATGGTTTTACTCGTATACCAATCGAGATCAATGATACGAGACTTCGGACCTTCATTTTTTGGCTATTAATGTTAAAGAAAAAATTGGTTTACAAATAAAGTTTCATATTCAAAATCATCATACATGTGATTTCGACTTAGAATTAATTAATTAATCACAATTAAAAGTCATTTTGTTTCTTCAAATGAAAAAAAGGTTTTCTTACTTGAAAGTTTGGTTTCTTCAATCGGGAAACACTGTAAATAAGAAAATATTTTGAAATGATGCATCGAATTGAGTGGGAAAAAATTAGGTCACCAAATGGTTATAACGTTAGACTCGAGCACCGATACAACGATTTAAGACAATAAACGAGATAGAGTAGATGAGTTGTATTACAGTGGACCAATATTATTATATTATATTGGACCAAAGAAAAGGGTGATGAAAAGCCCGAGGGTTTAGTCAGTTGGCTGATGTTACATGACTAAAGTCAGTTTCTAGTGAATCAATACTCAATTCTAGCATTTTATTATAATAATATAAAAGACAAGCGGAAACAAACTTTCTTACGAAAGTTTGTTAAGGTTGTTTGCCAGACCCGTGGTTTATTGAATCGGGAATCGTTTTTTAATCGAAAAATTCGAAACTAAACTCTTTCTTTTTCTTTTCTCTCGTCTCTTTCTCTGTCTTTTTGAAATGCGCGCTGTAACAAAGCTTAACTGCGCATGCGCACATAGAAATTTTCGAGTCAGAATTTCTTATGACAGCTACTCAGATTTTTTTCGTACTATTTTTCGTAACTGTAACTTATTAGTATTTTCCGCTCTATTTTTTGGTACCTTAACATCTCATAGAATCTTTTATCTCGAGCACAATCTTTACCCAAAATTTGAGCTTATCTTATTCAAGTTTGTAGAAGAAGAAGATGCTTGAAATTTGGTTAACATTTGTCGAAAAATTTTCAATTGATTAAGAGAAAAACAATTAAATTCAAAGTCATATGTCAATATTGATTAGATGCACGGAAATAATATCAATTTAATAAATTCAATAATCAAGATTAGTTGCAAACAATCAAGATAATTTTGAATCAATCGATTAATGGTTTCATGGATTTGGGGTCAAAGCATAACTCTCGTGTCGCAAATACAATCGTATCTTTCATCAACTTCAACATCAAGTACATTTCGTTTTAGTACAGAGGTCAAATGAATGTCTTTTGGTCATTGCGCGGATTTTTACATTGGGTTCAACCTTACAGCGTATACTCCCAGCTATCTGATTATAACTGTTACTCTTAACAGGTATCTTAATTTCCAATGGGACTGATCTGATAGATTCGATACAGTCTGAACATGAAGTAAGACATCTGAAGGGAAGATTTTGGGGATTGACTGAGTAACTTGGTGTTTCTATTGAAACAGGGAAATTCATTTACCAATAGGTTGAATTTTACTGAGTCTCGCTAGAGTTTCACAATTAATCTACTGATTAATTATCGAACACAGAAGAGCGATTAGTCCTTCACAATCTAATCTTACAAGTACTTTTAGGACCGTAATTAAGCGCACAGATTAATCAATGAAATGGTTTTTTATTAATTGAATTAGAATATGAAACGAACAGTTTCAAAGTAAAACTCTAACTGATTAACACTATGGTTAAATCAATGTATCAATAGATTCTAAATGGGGGAAAGCATTTAGAAAAGAACAAAATTTAAGATAAGAAATGGCGCCTTTAGGCTTACAAAGTAAATCAAAAAGAAACATAAATACGTTAGCTTAATCAAGCTAAACAGAAGATACTTTCCTTATAAGGTTAACCAAGATAAGGATTGTTAATAAAGAAAACAATGAGTTATCTTTAGATGATTAAATGATTAAAACAGAAATTTAGAATTAACCCATTATTAAGGTTGATGAGTCTAATTGTCATTTCTTATAAGATTAAAATAAAGAAAAATGATTAAAATCAAAATGATAATAAAAAGAAGAAAAGAAACTAAAGTTAATCCAAAGGTAAATTGTTACCAATCATCGATTACCAATAGGGTTTTAGGAAGTGCGGATTAATACCTAACACTGCCCTGGATTTTGATCAAGAACCCTTTTTAAAACTTGGTTTGGGATTCGAGGATTAGGATTAGCGTTAGCTGGGTGGTCATTAGAGGAACTGAAAGGGACAATTGCATTGAATCTTTGTGGCATTGGAAGTGGATCCTCTTCAAGTGGCAATAGCTCAATTTCGTAATCACTAGAGTTGATGGCGATGTCCGAAGTACTTGGGGTGCAGCATCGATCATTGAATCGAGGGGCATCTCGGCTTCCTTCAATACCATAGTAGTACCAATTCTGAGGCCACGAGGCTCGACTTCATCTACATTTTTAGCGTAGATTGAGAACAGGTAGGAAACTTCACTATTGTTAACAGTTTTAACACAGTTTCCATAATGGATTCCATCGTTCAGCTCTTTACATTTTTCCTCTATTTTTTGCCAATAGGCCATGTAAAGTTGAAGACTCAAAAGAGATTCAACAACAGGGGAATGAGGTTCGTTCGGAATTGTATAGCCACTGAACATAAGAAAAGCAACAAGGCTAAGAGCACAAGCTGATTCCTTATAAGGTGAAAAATTGAGTAATCTCCCGCATCTTGGGTTTCAAGTAGTTCAATTCCGCAATAGTGAGACCAAGAGATTTGAGTTGATTTATCAAACCAGATCCAACTAGGATTTTACATGTCTCTAGATACTGAATCAATTGATCGCGAACCGACATGAGGTTTTTTGCATATCTCAAATCACCTCTAGAGAGACCATGATGATGTGTATCCATGTAGGCGATTTCAGGATATCTCACAAAAGTCTCATAAATGATTTCTTGGTTTCCATCCATGATCATAATCCAACAAGGTCTTGGTGTTATTTTTGTTTTATAACAATCGTTGATCAAGTGGATCTCTGATGCGACAAAAGCCATATTGATAGAGAAACCAATTTAGGGTCGGGATGCACTTTAGTGTTAGCGGCGATCTTTTCGAGTATCTCTTCCTTAATAGGGTAAATTTGGACTTTCGATTTGCTATGGAAAGTAGCACCAGCTTCATTGCGTTTTGATCTCGATAGACTTGGTATCGTGAACTTGACGATGACCGTGATGATGAACGAGATGAGGGGCGCAATAGCGAACGATTTCACGGATGCTAGTCCAATTTCGGTTAAGATTGTTCATGATTGTGTTGACTTCTTCAGGGGAACTCGAGCATTGGATCAATTCTAACAAATGGTTGATCAGTTTCATGATGATCTTTAGATATTTTTGCACTAGAGCGGCGATGAGGTGGTCTAGGCAATCCTTCAGCAAAACGAGCCCATTCGGCCGAAGCTCTTATAAGATAGTCAGGGACACAATTCCATTGTGTGGTTTCAGGTCGAATACGTTGACCAGGGGCGGCCTTTTTACCGACTACGGGGTCGAATCCAACATCTTGGAGCCATTGCTCTCCTTCGTAGATGGGTGCACTTGGGTCGTTGATCCTCTTTACAACGGACCAATAGCTATTGCTAAGGTTAGCGAAGCTTCGAATGGCACTTGGAGCAAGTAACGGATCAGATGGATTCTTTTCCTTATTGTACACCAAATAAGCTAAGCCTTCGAAATTATATTCAATTCGATCACGTTGAGTTGGAAAGCTTTTGGGCACAGTGGTTTCTTCAGCTATAGCGACTTTAATGTGGCTTGGTAAAGCTGAGATTAATCGTCTTGGTTGATTAGCCATTTGTTGTCTTTCTGGACCTTTTTTGAAAACTTCGTTGTCTTGCACATTGAATTCTTCCTCTAGGAGTCCACGGCGACATCGCTTTTCATGAGATGAGAAGTCGGCTGGTTTGAATTTACCACAGCATCGATTTCGGCGGCACACAAATTCAGCGGCAAGATAACTCGTTAGAGTTTCTGACTCGGGAACTTCACTATAGCGAGGATATTCATCTTTGGGCGCATATTTAGCAGCACAACCAACAACAATGCACAGGAATTGATCATCAGTTGAAGGTGGGATGAAATTCAATTTAACTAAAGTTTTGTTTAACCAGAGGACACATTCAAAACAGTACCATGATGAACACTCAGTACAAACAACAGGATCAATAGATACATGTTCACATAGGGTACACATGATTATTTTAAAAATCTCATTTAATTGAGTTGAAATCACTTTGGATTTCGGGAGGCCAACATGAAGATCATCCATAGATAGTTTAAGAACATTTGGATCATTGATGATGTTCAAGTAGATTTTTTCCTTGATGAGATTAAAAAATTTCTCTTTCTTCTGTTCAAACTCATTTGCTTTAGCAATAACTTTTTCCTTAATTTTCATGAAATTCTCTTTAGAGTAGAACTCAGGAATAGGAGCAGTTTTAAGAGGAACAGGATATTCATTGGGACGCCAGGGATAATCGTCAGGTCCAAGATAACCACCATTTTTATCAGTTGATTTCGGGTCACCGGACTTTTCCTTGGTTTTCGTTTGAAAAGTTAAAAGAATGTTACTTTGATTCTCCACACTAACAGTCAAGTTGTGATTAGAGGCTTTAACAATAGTTCGGGTTGGAACTTGCTCTTTAGAGGATGAATCGACTGGAGTGGATTTATAACGCTCGTTAGTAATACCAGAAGAAGTTGAGGGTTGATCAGGATCAAAAGGGGTAGATGAGGTTTCTAAAGAAAACGATTCCACATTTTGAGTACCAGGAAGATCCATTTTATCCGACATTTTCATCTTCTTTGGGGAAATAACAGGCGATGGAGAATTCGAATGATTTCTTTTTCTACCAAAAGGTTGTTTAAAATCACCAGGGTTAGCTCCAAGATTTGATTGATCTTTATTTTTGCCTTTAGGAATTTGATTTTTCTTCGGCGATGATGAAACTGATTCACTAGAAGAAGATTTACCAGGTGATGATCCTTTAGGAGAATTGATGTCGACGAGAGGAAAATTTGGTTCGACTCGATTTAAATTGTCTTCACGAATTCGTCTTAGCGATTGACCAATACGATAGTTGAAAAGGGCATCAGGTGAAAGTGGAGGCACAGGTGAATTATTTGATTCCTCGGTGGAAATGTCAATATCAACACTAATAGGGGAATAATCGAATGTTGATCCAGATTCACTAGTGAGAGGGGCAGTTTCACAAGAAGATACCAAGGGTTGATTTCGACCAGTTGTTGAAGTTGGTTCTTCGTTAACAGTTGAAGAAGAATTGGTTTCGAAAACACTATCTAAAGATTCAGCGTTAGACGTTAAAGGTGACTGAGACCTTTGGGTTGAAGAAGACATTTTATATACCTCGATAGAGATAAACTTGGCTTTAAAAATCACTAAGATAAAATTATAATTAAGTGTTTTTAAACGCTGGATGAGTAATTGAAGCGCTGGTAATAGCCAATTATTTATAGAAACAAATTGTAAACAAATTGAAATTGAGATCGAATCAATCAAAATAAGAAATTTGATTTGAGAGTTTGAATTGAAGTCGATGAAGATAAACACTTTAGTGGAAAATGGGTTAACAATAACAATAGTTGACTTTGACTCCTTATTTACATTAGCAAGGGAGATTAATTGTTTTTGATAACCAGGTTGACTTTTTATGTTTCCCATAGATTTCTCATTATCTTGACAACCAGATTTGTCATCGTTCACTTTAGTGGATTGATTGGTGAGAAAGTAGATATTGTCTACTTGATTTGATGCTTTTAACTGTCCACGGGTTAATCTTTTGTTTAATTGTTGATTTGAGTCAATAATCTGTTGTTGACTTTGGACAATTGATTGATCAGCGGAAAGTCTTGATCGCTTTCTTGCGCTTTGACCTTTAGGTAAACTTTCATGAGTGTTTACATTATCATCTTTAGATTGGGCATCAAACACTACTGACTCATTAGAGGTGTTTATTTCGGGAAAATTAGAATCAACAGATTGATCAATTTCGTCTTCATCATTTTCTTCAATTTCTTCCTGCTCTTCATTTTCAGTGTTAACTGAAATTTCAGGATTTTCAGGCTCTAGCCAATTACTTGAATCGACATTAAAATAAGAATCTCTTAACTTTTTCAATTCGTTTTTGATTTCTCCTTTATGGGGTTTCGAGTTACTAACGTTAGCGGAAAATAAGTCAAAATCTTTAGATTGAGGGTCAAGCAAGAATA